TGAGGTTATCCACTAACTTACCCTTAAACTTACCCGGGTATGTCACATAACCTGCTTTCTGGAATACCCCCCTGCACTTTTGGTTTAAAAATGTCATTTTATGATTTGGACTTATATATTCTGAAGTCATGGCTCCTTAGAAGTCAGGGAAAATGTTAAAAATGTTGAAGCTGTGTTACGTTTAGCTGGTCCCATGCCAAGATCTCATTACCTGTAATTTGCTTTTTCTAAAGGTTTTTGTTTTATGTTTTTGTTTTTGTTTTGTTTTCCCGATGTGTTTCCTCAGATGGCTATTGTACCAAACAGTGATTCCAGTAAACAGCAAAAAACAAAAACAGCACTAGACTGCAAGAATCCTGTCTTCCATGAAACTTTTGTTTTGTAAGTTTTTTTCCCTTCTGTTTGACAGTAATGACAGTCAATGTTTCTGAGAATTATTCGTATGTATTAAATTTGGTTCCATAGGAATAGAATTTGTATGTTATATAGTACTTTGCAGAAGTCTTAGGCAGTCAAAGAGAATGTTGGCCATTTATCTGGGTGGTAAGTGTATATTTGCTAAAAAAAAATACTATTTAACATTAGAATATCAAAAAATGCATTGGTGTCCTGGATGGTTGCTGCAAATACTGTGGTGACTTTAGGAGAGGTTTTGAAATGGCTAAGCTATCATACTTTGACAGACATATCATCGTAGTTTTACACTATGAAGACCATCTAAGCATCTTTTTCTTTGGCTGTCTAATCCTTTTGCACAGTACTGTATACACACAGTCAGGTTTTTAATTCCTCTGCTATTAAATAATCTTTTTGTAATATTTGGGCTGTAAGTGATGGGAATGAACAAAATGATTGGGCCTTTTCATGTTAAGGCAAATATTCCCTTGTATTGATTTTTATTATGATAGCTTCCAGAATTGGGTAATTTCTGACCTTCTGCTGCTTCTAATACTCAATAATAATTTAATCTCTGCCCCTCTATGTCCTTTGAGGACGGTGCTTCACTACTGATGAATTACCAAGATTTGTTTTTTGAGAGGTTGTATGTAATAGAATTGCAGTGTGGACTTTAATGGTTTTCAGATGAAATGGATCTTCTTTTGTACCCATGAGCTTTGATTTGGTAAATGTCTAGCACAGGGGTACCCAATCTTATCCGCAAAGGGCCGGTGTGTATGCGGGTTTTCGCTGCAACTCCCTAATTAGACTACTAATTAGAGGACTGATTGGCTGAAAGAGTCCTCACACCTGGGTTTGAACAGCTGACCTACAGGTTATCCCAAAAACCTGCATACACACCGGCCCTTGGTGGATAAGATTGGCTACCCCTGGTCTAGCAGATCACACTGGAGTGTGCTCTGTGTTTGACCTTGGCTCCTAACATAATTGATTTGGTAAATGTCTAGCAGATCACACTGGAGTGTGCTCTGTGTTTGACCTTGGCTCCTAACGTAAATGATTTGGTAAATGTGTAGCAGATCACACTGGAGTGTGCTCTGTGTTTGACCTTGGCTCCTAACGTAAATGATTTGGTAAATGTGTAGCAGATCACACTGGAGTGTG